AGTTGAAAGGCGCCTACTCATGACGGCAGAGGCTAGTTCGATCCGGCTGATGCAACCATAATTAGGTAAGCAGAGGATACCAGTTCAAAAGCTCCATTTACCCTGGCCATAACTTCACTGTAATTCACCTGGACCTCCGAAAGTGACCTTTCACCCCATCGGACAGTTGAAGCGTGGTGTGGTGTGTTATATTGTGAACATGTATTGTGAACATGTGTGTATACGTGTGTGCTTAGCTCTTATAAACGATTGCAAATGGTCGAATATCAAAGCAGCATGTTTGGACTTGTCTAAGTCTACACTTGTAATTTTAGCCCATCCCGATTTTAATTATTTTTTATGTTTATCAGCCTGATGAGAAATATCGGAAATAAGTTTCTTCTCTAAGCTGTGTGTTGCCATCTCTATGGGCGTATTTTATTCTCTAGTTTGGTCAAACTGCTTTATGCATACATACGCCCCATGTGGAACGTGCAACTAAATTATGACATCCATGGTAATATTGAGGTCCTTGTTTTGGAGATTCCTCAAATGTGGACCACGAACAACGCCGAAGCGGCATAAAACGACGTATGATCAGCAACTGAGTATTCTGGAATATTCTAGTGGACGATTGCGAGATTTGTTTAGCGGACTTATAATGTACCAACTTTTACCTAACCATAATCACCCCTGCCATTAACGGTTAAAGCTCCTCCATAACAGTAAGATGAGACAGACTGTCAACCCTTTCGTGGGCGGAGAAAACTGCTTATGGCTTGCTTTATGTCCCTGCCAAGTCAAACACTACTGCTTTAACACGGCATAGGCTTCGAAGGATGAAATATGTGTTAGGGAAACTGCGACTTCAGGGATCGTGCATTTGTAACACCAAATAAGTTGAGAGCTTTCACTGCTGGACGCACACATGAGTGCGGTATGTGGTCAGCCGCAGCATTTCTTCACACATTTGTATACCTCGACGAAGCTGTTGAGATTTCACGTCACTTAGTCACTTGTCCTGCTAAAAGCACACGCAGAGCCGGTTCCTCGGCGACGGCAAATTATTGGAGTAGATACAATCAGCAATCAGAATGGCGTTCAGATTTGTACAATGCGCAATAAACGCATCGTTATTTTTCTATTTCATGCTACTATTTTTCAAAGCAAAGGGCGGTTTGGTATATATATATATATAGCGGAAGAGTCCATAGCTACCTGCGGTATATGGTGGCAAGATCCTGACGGATCATCGACCCACCGCTTCCAATGTCGTACAGTTGACTCAATTCCTGTAGTCCTCCTAGTAGCTACAGTTAAATGGGAGTTGCGTTACACATTTTTCTAACTGTGAATCAGGAAACAATTCCATGTGAATCGGTTTACTAACTTATGGGGTATAGCTTACTTACATTCGGGAGCGCATTTTATTGAAGGCCTTTGCTGAGGATCCAAGTTGTTTGCCTGTTCATGTGTGGAGGCCCTGGCAGTGTTCCAGTTCAAATCCCAATCATGAATCGTGCGTCGACGGCCGCGCAGTGGGGTAGCAAAATGGAACGCCCTGTCTGCTGCCTACATCGGGGTGGGTTGAGGAGAAGGTGTTACCGCTGAGCTCTCCCTACTTTCTTCTTCCCTTACACATTCTCTTCCATCCCGATTATAACTAACGCAGTAATTCCCCTAAACCAGCTTACTACACTAGCAGCTGCTCAATGCAATTGTATGCCTCAGCGTAAGCTCCTCAGCATCCGGTGCTAGAACGTGCGCATACTACTCGATCGGAATACGAGGGAGCGATCCGTGCGGCTCACTGTACTAGTCGCGATAGAATTCGCGCGCCCCGGGATCGAAATTGCCGCAATCGGATGGAAACGCACTCTGATTAGTACAAGCTGATAGAGGATGGGGTTGGGTACACGCCCCCACAGTACCTCCTAGATGGCGACCTGGTGGCCGAGCCGAGCGGTATAAGCTCACGGCTGATGATATATATTGATGATCATATATATATATATATATATATATATATATATAATTCCGTTTGTTTTACATCTAGAAACTGAGAGATAGATTTCAGGGCGACAGTATTGTTGCTAATTGTGGAACGAAAATGTTGCCCGAGGTGTACGCCTTAGTAAACTTTAGCTGGTTAAGAATATAATTGGACCAGTGTTGATCAGATCTTTGCAAGCATTTCTGCACGGATTGTTTTATGCCTAAGTGCATATATGCATATTCACACAAACACACATATATGTATATGGGTATATACATATATGTAAGTAGTGAAGAGGTGGCACATACCATCTGTGAAGGTTGTAGCAAATTGCGGTGGATGGGCTGACCACCGGTCTTCATGTATGCACCTGCGTCTGAAGACCATCGTGAAGTGATGCTTTCGATGATCGATCATACTCTTTTCACACGGCTTCAATGATTGGCTCAAATTGCTCATCAGTACCTTAGTCAGTCGTGTTTCTCATAATTAAATAGCAAATACTGACGCGACAAAATGGTTGCGAGATTCTAGAACTAAGAAAATATCTATAGAAAGAAATACAGTGATCGATGTCCCATCATCAATGAAGCATAAGGATAATCAGCGTAATTCAGAACTTAGCGAAAGATTGTCTGAGTTCCGTAAGGATTTTTTGGTCTGCAATTCTCCCTACATTTGAAATATATGTACTTGTGACTGGTTCACTATCAACCGGCTTAAAATCACCTTTTTACTATCTGATTTCTAATCAACAGTAAGGATGACCCCTTGTGGTACTTACATTCTGGTAGTTTTATGGAAATCTTCTACAAATCATTTCCTTTTGAACTAGTCGGAACTTGCATATGCCGCTCACTAGCTTTAGCTCATTGAAATATATGAAAGAAAAGTCAACTAAGCAGTATGAGTTGATTAGCGAAGAGATAACTTTCGCCGACGCATCGATTTCTTAAAAAATCCGACACTGGCAGTGACACCGTTAGACCAATATACACTGACCTCAGTCAGAATGCAACAATTGTTGGACTCAGTACCGTAATACCTGAGCGATTTTACCTTTCCTTTTAAACAATACTGATACTGTCTTTCGTTTCCTGCGACCTCAAATTCCGTGTAACTGGTCGCTGAGCTTCTAAAACCGGTCGACATTTTGTTGATTGACATAGCCCCACTTCTACTCAGGCCCATTGCTACAGTGCCGGGCAAAGTTAGATTTGTAATAGATATCTATACAAGGGAGAAAGTGTGAGCATACTGGCTGGTATGCTTTAGCTGAGCACAGATTATGAGTGACTTCCGCCCCATTTCTCTATGGCTACAGCGGAAGTGGGTGTGAGCTACCGGAGCAACATTGAGCATAGCTGTTGTCGCTGGTCAAACTGAAACCGCTACGGACGCCTTAGCTATTTCCACTGGTTGTATTGGAAAAAAATGGACGACGTGAGTTTGTGTGGATACTCCCGTCTAATGCAGCATATAAGAGATAAACAAGATTTTTGAGTGGTGTGGAATTTTGTATTTAACATAGCAATTTAAGTGGCTAAAATGGTGTTAGACTTCTACAGTGACCGACTTACCTGTTTTCGTGGATACAGTCCCTATAGAGAACGACTAAAATATAAAATAAACAGGCAGTCTGCAGTGATGGGATGAGGCAGCTCCGAAACTCTCCAATTCGGATGCGGTCCCGGTGATCGAAATGGCATAATTTTGTTTCAAAGCAAACTGGGGCCTCAGTCAAGATGGGGTGTCGCAATCCAGACACACGGTGGGTACTCCAAGACCCAATAATGAACTTCTAACCGCTGCGTCAAGCGCTGCTGTAGAGCTTTGGTTTGGTGACCAAGACGAAAGCCGTCTACCACTGCGTTGGACTTCCCACTCAGCTCAAGTTATCTCCACGTGACGAGTCCAGGTCAGGACGATACCGGTCGGTCGTGGAGTGCAATGTGGGGAGAAAACTGCACCGAAAATCTCCACATGCAATATGTTTCTTGCCTGCACTTTTACCGAGGAGTGGTTTCTTGGGAGTTATCTATTATCTGTGTTGCATATCAAGAGCGAGATACAACGCATTATAGTTACTGCATCACTGACAATGTTGAAGTCAACTTTTAATGTACTGCGTACCCTACACAGAAAGTAGACATCATCGTCTGATTATGTCCTTGGGTGCATTCAGCTGTCGGGAAATCACACCAACCGTTACGTACCGGATTCTGGTCACCTTACATAATCGGACCTTAATTTATTGATGTGTGTACAGCGTGTTTGGAGACAACGACGCTGTTTCTACTGCATTTATACACGGGACAAGTTTTGGTGCTCTCACCCAGTTGCTACTTCCCATATCCGTTTGCTAATTCCGCCAAATTAATACATTAAAAACTAGCAGAATGCAAACAGCTCTGCTACAATGTTCATTACCTGTTACGTTAAAACAATGCTAAAAGTAGCATAATCATGCTTTCTTTCTCTTAGATCACTCTTTTGAATGTCACTCATTTTGAAAATTTCATTTTTCATACGGTTTAATTGGAAAGGTCATTTTGTAGCACAACTGACATGAATGAAGTGCGCCTTGAAATCCGACTGTATTTCACATTAAAATTAGGTTTAATTATTACTTGAGTTCCGCTTTAACGCCAACAGAATGCATACTTACAAGGTAAATTAATTTGGAGACCCCACGCATGTCACTAGCAGCATCACGGATGCAGATTAGTCTAATTTTATCAGCTCGTACACTACAAAAACATGCTGAAAGAGATATATGCTTAGAATTTGAAATGTAGCATATCCCAAATCGTCACACAGTTACATTTGGGTGCTTAGGCAAACATTAGTAGCCAATGAGATGGAGCGATGGAAACCAATCACAGCCCGTGGCCTGTGTTGATCGGCTGAATAGCTTGCATGTGGAACCAGGCAAAGTAGCGGCACCACAACCGTAAGTCATTGGGGAATTTAGTTACGTTGGCAGGAAAATTATACAATGAGATTTCGAGTTTGTCAACATAGTATGCTTACTATGTGCTATGTTGCATTGGGTAAGTCTATGAATAGCTTGCACTTCTTATCGTTTCTAACCCAGCTTGGTTTCGCAACTAGTTAATGAAGAAGTCATCCGATACTTACCAACTTGTCCGTTTGTACAAGCCGTTTATAATCGCTAAAATATTCTCTACCGTATGTTTGCAAACAATAAAAAATTTCGACCAACCCTGTGCACAGATGTATAATCTAGGGAAAATGGCTGAAGATATAAACAACGGATAATAATCATACTCCCCAGAGTGCATCCGTGTTTGGCTAAATCATAGCTCTGTTTTGCATCAATTTCCCTCCACAGCAATTTCAGTAAAACGTAAAGCTCTTCTAGGGTGACACCGTAATTGGCCATTATTCGTTCTAACATTACCACTAATATCTTTGATGAGAGGTATAACTATTTATTCACTTAGAGACTACTTTCTGGCGGTAGCCCTTTGACTAAAAGTCAAATTTACTATAAATGCTACGAAGCGTTTCACACTATCAATAGGGGAGACAGGTTAAAGCCGACGGCCACAGCGAGCAAGTGTATACTATTTACTGTCATTTTGGGCTTGAAATCCACTACATGAAGCAAGGAGGGTTCCTTAGTACAGACCTATCCTCAGACGGTGTATGTGCAGGTCGTACCATTAAAGTGTTGAAAGATGTGTGCCCAGACATGGCTAAATGTTTCCTTGTAAGCAGTTAGTGTTTAAATAAACATATTCTACTTTATTATGTGTAGTCTTTATACGAGGTTGGAGACTAAAGATCCTACAGTCAACGCTGAGACTCTGGGTGACCGAGTTCCATGTGGAACCGAGAATCTCATTCAAATTTAGTGTAATTGCACTAAAAGCTCTGTTCACTTTTGTTTGGTTGTTAATTCATCCAAGTTTGCAGGCTAAAAAAGCGGCAAAGAAAGTTCCTTACCTTGGACTAGAGAATACACTACCTGCACTTGATGTCTTTTATTATAATCTAACCTAATTTAGGTTGAATTCGTTCCTGTGAAATTCGTTTACTTATGCCTTTGCAACAGGTGTGTGCAACCTCATTGGGACTCCTCGGAAGGATGACTGGTCTATGATAATGGAAGTGGAGGTGGAGAATCCGGAGGAGAAAGCAGGTTTAGCATACTTTCAGGTTATCAACTTGAGTTGTTAGGCAAATTTACAAGTCACGAGCGGATGCATGTCAGAAACCATTCAGAAGTCATCTTGTGTGGGAATCTAAAATGTCGCAACAAGGCGCGCTGCGTTATTCAACCTGCCTCAGCCCAAAATATGAATATCAAGACGTTCAAATGTCTGTGCGCGATTGGATATCATGGCTTACTTTGCGCTGAAAGTAAGTTAGAACACCATCGCTCATGCCGTGTTTTCTCTGAGGAATTTGTCTTGCTGCGTTGATTGTGTTCTTCGGAGCTCGTGTCGTTGTTGATTGTCGCTGAAATTGTGGCCCCATTCGCAGTGTATTTAGGGCTGTTCAACCTATCTGACTGGGGTCAGTTGACTGAATATATCACTGACAACTACTTCCGCCTTCGAAAATGGGACTGTGATTAGTATGACAAGTAACCTGGTTGACATAAGCCAACTGCGAAGCAGTTTAGATGTTTGACATATTGTTGAGCATTTCATAGAAAACAGTCACCGTTTCACCATGTAGATATCCACTTTCACGGAGTACTAAAATGAAAGCACATTACAACGACAACGTAGTGCAGTTGACACTAGTGATTAATACATTCCTCTGTCTACCGTTTTTTCATTATAAATTACTAGCCGGAGCAAGACTTTGCGCCACGAGTCTCAGTATACAAAATGCATTGCAAAACGCAAGGGTTAGCGGTTTTGTTAACCGTGAACCGTAGGTATTGGTGGCGAGAAGAAACAGCATTAAATAATGAATACTGATGTGCGTTTAATTGCAATTCCGTTCATCCCTACCTGAATCACCCAAACTGCAATGTACAATGAACAATGAGTTATCACGGGATAAAAACAAGTGCTTGACAAGTCCCGTAAGCTGGTTAGGGTGAATATAATGAAAGCAAAATATATGTGAGTCCTCTACTATGCCTCTACTGAAATGAATGCTTTAATAAATAACGCCATTGTAAAAGGAAAGCAAGTGTAAGCATGCAGAAAGAAACGGGGTGCAGTGCTCATTGAGGGAAAGCGTGAGAAAGGTAAAATATGGAGGCTCCCTCACACGCCGTCTTCTTGGGTCCATGCGACACATAAATCCTGTAGAAGGGCATAATTGGCGTAATCCAAAATGGCGTAATTTAGGTAAAAAGCGGTTGGGAGCTGAGAGAAACATCCAATCGTTTTTTTGAAAATATCCACAGTAGAGGAGGATACAACTGAGTCTGGGAGTGCGTTCCAGGATTAGCAAACCCGAAGGGAAAAGTAATTCCATCGACACCTTAGACAGCTATATTGTTCGTACAACTTCAAGCAGTTACCACTAAGCTGCGTGTTTTGGCTAAGTTTTTGCAAATGACGACCTACATGATTGGAGTCACTCAATATTTGGTACGCTAATATGAGATCTCCGTGCAGCTTTCTGTAGCGTCCACTAAAAATTCCCAGCAAGTTCAGCCTTCGGTGGTAAGAGTGATAGTGCTGGCCATTGACATTCTTTGTTGCACTTCTTTGTGGTGCCTCCAATGCCTCGAGGTGGCACCTCAACCAAGGTCGCCCAGCTCGGATAGCGCATTTAAACGTGTGGGCGCACGTAGGAATCGTACGTCATTAGGAAGGTTGATGGACCAAATCCCCCGAACGCCCTTCGCGGCATGCCGATGTGCTAGTTGCTCGATTTCGCAGCTATCTCAGTCTGTCTTGAACAGCTGAACTCACTCTGTACGAGCACACCAAGGTCATGTTCCTGAGAGCTGGTCTGCAATCCGTGTACCCGAAGCAAATACCTCTGGCCATGTCTATGGCGTACTTGCACAGTGCGACATTTGTCCACGTTGAATGGTAGGGCGTTTTGAACTGACCAGTTCGACACCATGTTAAGATCGCCCTGGAGCCGTTCGTAGTCGTTCGGTCCTCTGATCATTCGCCATATCTTTATATCATCTGCGATACATAGAAATTCGGAGGCAATCGATCTCGCCGAATAGTTAATGAACACCAAAAATATACGAGGCCCAACTACCGAGCCTTGTGGTACACTACACACCACATCAGTTGCATCGGACGGATAATTCCGGATTCTCACCTCAGATGCTATGCGCGTACCTCCAAAATGTCTCAGCTTCGGATACAGTCCAAGTGCTTAAATGACTAACACTTGTCTCAAAACAAATACTACTACGAATTAAACCTGATCGCCGTGATCCAATCTCATAGTGGATAATCGAAATGCTACAACGGAACTGTATTCTCTTTAAGCTGAAAGATTTGCTCAAAGTAAGTCTTCATGGTGAGACTCCGCAACGTCCGGGCAGTAGATCCCCATCCGTCCAGCGCTACTCTGAAGATAGTGTAAACTTAAATAGACAAGAAGATAGTCATGAAGCTATTAAAAATCATTAGGTCACAATTGCTGCAGACAACAAATTCTTCTTCGTCTCATTAAAAATTGAGAAAGCGCGTTGTTTTTTAAGTAAAGCTGGAAGGTGACGCCAGCCGCTCTCAATGCTTACAACAGTTTCGTGCAGATTAAACAATTTGGAAACAACAATTTTATCAAGTCAAACTGCTAGTTGGTTTCATGCAACAGCGAAATAGCTGTATGACAAAGTTTAAAACCGTTGTCCACCACGTTCGCTTGGTTGAACATGACTGATACTTAAAACTAGACAATAGATATGGTAACATGAGAGACAGTGCGTTCTGTTGATTTACCACGCTTCCCACCTAAAGATAGATATAAATGTGCTTACACCGATCTTACGTGGAGGTGGATGAACGCGTCGTTTTGTTATGTCATGTCATTGCTTTAGGGAAGTATTCTCATGTGATGTTGATAAATCAGAGCATCTAAGTTTTCTTTAACTAAGGCAGAGATACAATCTTTCGAGATATGGTTCTACACCTATGCAGAAAAGATGAAGGAAAATCCGATGGTATTTCAGCTCACTATATTGCACTGCCCAATTTTAATTAATGGTCTCTCAAGTCAACGTCGCAGTTATTTGTTTAAAAATTGGCAGCAAAATCGTCTGCGCAACTTCGACGGCCAGTAGGCTGTTATGTGATCTCCTAGGTATCGATACCGTCGACTGTGTACCTCTAGGGCCTTCATGCGTGTTTGATGAATCAAGTCACTAGCAATTTTTGTTGTGACTAAGCGTGAGTATTTACCCCTTCGAGATAGTGTTTCTGTCATTTTGACATATCTGCTTGAGGTAATCCACATGGAACTTTGCGTGAACGTTATGTATGTGAGTAGAGGCAGTATAGTTTAACTGCTCCAACATCCCACTGTACGAACAGATACGAGATTTTACGCCCTACTTTATTGTATCAAGTGGAGCCGGTACCGTTCAGGGTAGGTACTCTATATCCCGGTCCGAGGAACTTGCCGAAAATGGTGGTGCTCAACAGTATACCGCCAATGAAGCAAGTACAGTGCCAACCCTGTGGCTGTGTCTAAGTTTAATTGGGTAGAGAATGATTAACGAATGTATACTCCTCAACTGTGTGGTAACTTGATAATGCAAAGGTTCAACTCCATATATATATATATATATATATATATATATATATATATATATATATATATATATATATATATATATATATATATATATATATATATATATATATATATATAGCAATCGCCTGCTTGCGCACGACTGATCAAAAGAGGTCAAAACCAATTTAGCGACGACATCGCGCTAAGACAACGCAAGTCGCATGAAACTTAAACAGACGGATGTATGCAAATAACCCCAAACTTTACTCAAAGTTTAGAGAGAATAAATAAGACGCAAATTCCTATAGCTGTGATTGTATAAAGCATTAATGATAGTAGTTATCTTAAGAATACTTTCGAACTCGCAAACAAATCGATGGACACAGTAAGTTTGTGGCAGCGTGTGCAAAATTTACGACGTAACACATCGCTTTTCGGCAGTTTGTCAAATATGAAACACGTGAGATGTTTAATGAAGCCGTATACAAAGCACATGTGCATAAAACTCTGTACGGGAGCACTGGAAGGGTTTGGGAATATGGCTTCTATGTCCTTAAATAAGAATTCCGGACTGGGGAAGTCAATTTTATTTAGATTCAGAAGGTCAAGTGAAGTTGGACACATGGAACTCCTGCACAGCTAACTTGCTAGAGCTTGTAATCGGGATTCAGTATGAGGAAGCGTCAATAAATCTGCTCACGAGGCAATCGGCCGGCGTGGCTGTCCCATTCTTCCAGTGATGTCTAAGCTGAAAATAACGACCGGTCTCAAAGCATTAAAAGGTCCGATTCATAGTGTCCATGAAGGGAAATATAGACTATTATTGTCAATAGAGACTAAAAACAAGTTTTAAGTGGTTGTCTTGGTACATAAAAGAACTGAGGAATTTGAGCAAAGTGAAATTCTAGTAGAAGGTACAATTTTCTAGCAACATAAAAATATGAAATTGCTCCTTAAAATTTCGCACATTAGGTGACCCTAAGCTAGGAGGGATTAAACGTTTCGCAAATAGAGCCAAATTTGTTAGGCAAACACAAGTCGCCATATACAGTGCGATATTAAGATAATAACCAAAAATTACATATCATCAGTTTTTATTGTGTTATCATGTGAAGGGTGAAACTGTGATCCTGACTTCAGTACACTGGTCAGGTCATGCTCAATGACACTGGTTTTGATACGCAAGATAGCACGTAGGTGAGAACCACTTCGTCTCGTCCGCACAAGGTTCTCGTTAATATTCAGAACTGCGAACGTCTGCTCACACAAGTATGTCTAGCCAAACAAACCTCATTTTCTTAGCGGAGGTTCGAAGCTTTTGGAATCTAAAAAAGTACATTAAAGTAACTTATAGCACAATAAAAATTTAGAGACAGTGATATCCCGTAAAACGAAAATCCCGTTCTCAGAAGGAGCCAGCTATAACTAATCATATATTTGTCTCAGTTAAATAAACTGTCCATTATGTTTTTTCATTTAGTTCAACCCCCTTTAGTAAAAGCACTGGATTAGCTTTTCATATTTGGACAAAAACAAACAATACGACATCATGGATTTTTGCCAGCATCTGACACCACTGAATTTGCTACTCAGTCTCTTTACTTTTTAAGTATATATAATATCGTCTGTAGGGAAAAAATTCCGGCTTGAATTTCGTATTTTGAGATAAGCCGTGCGCCAGTGAAAATGGC